ATGTCCCCAGTGATTAGTTCTTAACAAGGTGTTGATTGTCTTTTGTGCAGGACATCTTCAGATTAATGTTAGTGGCCGTCAGTGATGGGGGTCGCTATGAGCATTTCAAATTTAGATCTATTGCTGTGTGCTTTCTTTGGTTTGTTATCCTTATTTTCAATAGATGAATGTTTGTAGCCGTATAATTATTATTTTAATGCAGCTTTGCATTTGATATAGGATCTTTCGTGCTGGGAGGATGTCTCAAAGTGCTTCATAGGATTTTTCTGTAAAATGTAGCAATTGTGTGTTTTGTAGGAGAATTAGCAGTAGCTAAACTGTACAGTTTTGACCCACAAACAGCCATGAAGTAAATGAGCAATTCTATCTGGGGGATTAATGGCCAAGACACAGGGAGAAACTCTCCTCATTTTGAATGGTGCTATCGTATCTCTAGCATCGCCTGACAGACAATTGGACCTCGGTTTAATGTCTGAGGATGGCTATTCCGACAATCGGGTGTCATTCTAGACTGTGAGTTCAAAGTTACAATGTGGGGTTTGAATCTACTGACTCAGAGGTGAAAGGGCTAACACAGGGGCTGACACTTATTATTAGGATGTTTACTCATGTAATTGGGGAAGGGTTGTTCCTTCTTACCATGCTAGAAATGTAATGAGAATAAAAACAAATGAGATAATATCACTCAAAATTCACCCAAAATTATATCTATTGTTGTTGTACTTGTACAAGTAAAAATAATATTTATGTACTGAAACATACTCGGAACACCGTTTTTAGATGCAAAACTCCTATAGGTTTTAAAAATAATCACTCCAGTTGCAAAATGTACTAAGATTTGCTTTGATCTTTAAACTTTTTTTTAAAAGTGCCTGGACAATTTTTGATTGTGAAGTGGTGTGCAAGCTATATCTTTCGCCCACAAAATATACAGTCAATTCACTTTACAGTATAATCTGTGAAGCACTTTGAGATGTCCGAAGATGTGATAAGGCGCTATATCAAATACCAGGATTATTATTGCTATACCTGCCACTGAGTGGTGGGGCACAGGTGCTATCCCATGCTTGGTGAGTACATAGCTTCTAATTTTAACAGGATTGTTATGTAACTAAACTATTATTTAAGGAGGCCATCTCTTCATTTAGCGCTTTGGGACGTCCTCCCAACGTGAAAAGCGCTATATCAAATGCAAGGATTATTATTATTATTATTATTATTCAGCTTGTAAAAATCAAACAATTACAAACGATTATCCTAGACATCAGACTATGAGTGATGATATTTTAGGGAGAGACTAACAGTGCAACAGAACTGTTAATTCATTGATGATAATTCAATTCCTTCTATTCTGTGACTCCTTAAGATTTTCCCTGGTGATACCATTATCCTCATGGTTTAAACAAAATTATTTTTAAATATCAACAGAAATACAAGAAAGTATATTACTTTCTTAGATCTTCGATCTGTTGATTTGTTTATGCGTATTCTTAAGGTTTCCCATTAATATTGAGATGGCTAACTAACAACTGGATTGCCACTTCCACAGCTGAGCTATCTTGTCAGTAATGTACTTAGCTCAGAGGTCAACTTTTCCTGGTGGATCCTACATCCAAAATGAACTGTTGAGGACCACTACTCTAATTATGTACATCTAGGCCATCACTCCATTCCTGAACCATTAGTTTGAGTGACGCGTCAACTGATTTGCTGTAATGTTATGTCAGTGATTAGATAGCAGGTTGTTGTGATTGAGACATTGCAACAGATTCTCATTTACTGTGGTTCCGCAAACTTTGACACAAATGAAACCGTATTTGACTTTAGTGATAGGACTCTGGCCTTGATCCCTTTTTGTAGATATGGAAAATGTTGCTTCTTTCGACTCAGATGAAACGTGGTCTGTCGACAGCAATCGTTGAAAGAGATAAGCGTAAAAGAAGTTAGCTTCTCAAATAAGCCTTAAGAACTTGGGTATCAGGCAATAGTATTTTAGGATTAAGCTTTTGCAAGAGATATAAGCTTTCTCATACTATGATTTAATTCACCTGTTTAGGCTGCTGCTCTTCAGTTGAACTCTTGGATTTCACATGATGTTTCTGTAAATTTGACTAATAAATCAATTATCCACAAAGGTGATGCGCATGACTCCATCCTTCTGAAGCGGTACCAGAATGAGTTGAGCTAAATGTTGCAAATGCTACAATCCTTTTTATCTGATAATTTTGCAGTTCAAAGTTAATCTCAGGCTCATATTTTTGGTGAGCTGATGTCAATGTTTTTTTCATGCGGGGACTTTGTATGGAGAGAGGCTTCCCTGACCTTTTGCTTCACTGATCTTCACCACCTGCTAAAGCATTTCCACAGTTAGCGAATACTCAGCATTTCTTTCATTTCACTACAGCTGTGAGCCAAGGTCTGTGTGTGCATAGCTACTTGGCTAAAGGAATAAATTGATCTGAGCCCAAATGATGTCCGGATTTTTCGACTTGAAGCTGGGATCCCAGTCTCAGTTGCAACTTGCTGTTTGCCTCTTTCCAAATGTTGAAATTAAATATCCAAACTTGCCTTTGGCTGTTTTAAAAATACCAATAAAAGGCTATTCGCATGTAGAGCAAGTGATCGTCAGGCTGTGCCAACTGCTACTTGTTAAGTACTTTGAAATAATTGGCAGTTTGTTAAAAGCAGACCAGTAGATGTTACCACTTGGCAAATAAAACATCTCTCGATGAAATTAGTGGCAACTCTGAAAGGAGGGAAGCATGGTCACGATGAGAGTTTTTTTTGTATCTTAGAGTTTAAGTTGCCGATCATGAGAATCGTAAAGGTGCTTCCACACTTTAGCTGCAGTATAATTGTCGAACCACCTTTGGAAATATTAACACAATGTAATTGATGTTTGTGCCATGGTGCTCTCAAAATAGATCATCGTCTGGATGGATATGACTCAGTGGGTTGGAAAATACAGTATGTGATCCCTGTTGATGATAATCATCACACGGTGGGATATTTCACTCCTGGAAATGTCCCAGTTAATGATTACCTTAGCTGAGCCCTTCCCATCCCACATTTCATTCAAATGGACGTTGCACCGGCACTTCAGCTAGCCTTGATGTCTTTGAACTTGATGCCACATGCCACTTGGATCTCTGCATTGTTTGTTGAAATGCTGGCTTTAACTCAGTTTTAAAGTTTTTCATTTTGTGTGAGATATCGAACTGTTCACTCACAGTATTGTACACAAATAACTAAACCATGTGATTTAAAGGTAATTCTTCCAATATCATAAACAAAGTGATCTTTCTGCCAAAAAGAATAATTGCAAAGCATTTCTTTAAGTGTGGTTTAAGTTTTAAACATGCTGTTGAAAATGCAGACTAGATAGTTACAACATATGCAGCGGAATTTGGCTTTTTTATCATTTATTTATAATGATCAAAATATAACCTTCAAAACCCAAACTGATATGCATCCATGTATTTGCATTCGGTTATAATAATTGGAGTGCTCAATCATTTGTCATCCACCTCAGCCTCTGTCTCTGCTGTCATCTGTCATTTAGCCTCCGACTTTGCTGTCGTGTCATCTAGCATTCAGCTTCCGGTTGTAGTGATCAAGCTTAGATCTGCTCAAATTGATTACTGCAACCAAAATCCAAATAAAAATGGGATATAAAACGCCTTAAGATTGTGTACAGTGTTAGCTGCAAAAGGTTTATATGTTATATTTTTGAAAATTACATTGGTCTGCCTTTTAAAAGCCCCGATTTGCCTATCTTTTAGCTGCATATTACACAAAACTTTTCAAACATAACTGAGAAACAGCTTGTTGCTGAAATGAGAAGACTCTAGGTTTGCTATTCTGGAAGTGTAAGGTCAGATAGGCCAAAAGACCTTCCTCATCAGAAATACCTGTGATGTTGTGAAAACCCCTATTTAATATGAATGTACCATTGAATACAACAATATTTTAATACGCCACATACAATGTGATGTTCAGTCAATTATAATAAAATGTACAGACTTTTGTAAATGACGAGGGGTAAATAAGCATACATCTAGACACAAGGGATTTATTTTTCTCCTTTGAGGTTTCCTGTTTCCCAGTTCGCTTTTTAGCAGGTAATAATTTTGATTTTTTGATTGTGATTTTGAACATTGCTTGATGTTAAAATATATATTATTTCATTCTCACCTTGACTGGTAATCAAAGTGGTAGTCCTTCCTTAGAAAGACAAATGGTTCATTTATGCTGATGGAACAAGGCTGCCTTTCAGGCTGTCATTGATTTTAAATTAAAAAGTAACTGCTGTGTTCTACATGAAGAGTGACAACAATAACAAACTAGTCCTTACTTAGTGCTATTTGTTGCAAGTATAGCATGTCATTCTGTGAGAAAATAAAAGATGCCTGAGTACCTTAATCTTGGTGATCAATAGTGTAGATATCTCAATGCAGCATAACAGATAATCAATTCTTTGCAAAATTACTCAAGTAAAACTCACTTCTAGACCTGTACCTCGGGCACTCATAGGGTCTTCAGGTTCAATTGGAGGTCTATCTAAAAGATTCATTTCAGTTTTTGTCCGTTTGTGCCTTAATGAATGCAATGCTGACAGTGAAGTATTAGTAGCCAATTGAAATCTCAGCGACTGTATTGTAATCCCTATAGATAATTAATCTCCACCATTTGCCTGTCAAGGCAGCACCGTTTGATTTTATGTGGAGCTGGAAAGATTGCCAGTTTTGAAAATTAAAAAGCATTCCTTTTATATTATTCATTCTGGTAACAATTTATGATGCAGAGTCTGGCCGCTGAGCAGTTGTCAAAAAGCATAATTATGTTTTGATATAAACAAGATTGGTGGCTTTATTATGCAGCTACATCTTCATTGTGGGTGTTTTGATTCAGGGTTAGATCATACAGGCTTTGTGCATGTAGGGGAGACAGATGCTAGTGTTTTCTCCAAGTTAATAATTTTCTTTGATAATTACTTGCAGACAAACAAATGTTCATTTAGGATCACTGTGCACGGGAGATATCAAACGGAGAAGAAAAGCAGCACCTCCCCCTGGACCTTCAGCAGCAGGTACTGTACAAACTCAGAATAAAAATCAGCATGTTCAAACTTGCTAGGGACGAATAAATAATAGAGCCATTTATGGTCACTGTTTTGTACCAATAATTCACTCCTGGGAAATATCTTCCTCCTGCTTGTGTTAACAACAACAACAAGATTTCATTTATAGAGCGCCTTTCACGTCGGGAGGACGTCCCAAGGCGCTGGACAGTTGGGTCGGGACCCGAGCAGGGGCGAAATGGTCAGGGTGAGGGGAGGGAAGGGAGGGAGCGAGGAGGGGGGAAAATGGTCAGGGTGAGGGGAGGGAAGGGAGGGAGCGAGGAGGGGGTAGAGAGTCGAGAGGGGAGCTGAAGGCACGGTCAAAGAGAAAGGTCTTGAGACCGGCCTTGAAGGAGGAAAGGGAGGAGGCAAGGCGAAGGCACTGGGGGATGGAGTTCCAGAGCCTAGGGGCTGAGAGGCCGATGGTAGGGCGGTTAGGGCGGGGAATGTGGAACAGAAGAGGAACGGAGGGTACGGGCAGGTAAGTAGGGGGATAGTAGGTCGGAGAGGTAGGAGGGAGCAAGGCCGTGAATGGACTTGTAGGTGAGGATGAGGATCTTGAATTCGAACTTTCATTTGAAGACTTTGCAGCACCACAGAAAGGGAACATCAATCACTGAGCTGATTTTACTACTAAAGACATAATTTTGGTGCCATTAGAATATTTTTCGTTATTTTCTGCCTTTCTCCCCCCTTTACCTCTTCAATATTCATCCTCTGCAAAAGTTCAGAGGCATTATCAAAGTCTCTATGTTAATGATATAAAGTGGACCTGATGCTTGCTTTTTTTCAAGTTAGGAACCCCAGCTAAAAATAAAATAAATCCTAAATATGTCCATACCAAAACTTAAACTTCTGTGTTATAGGAGTATGAAATAAGCATCATAACCACTGACTGGAAATCCAATGACAACTTGAAATGACAATTGGCTATCAAAAAATTGTTGCAGTAACAAAGATGATAATTATATTCCACCTAGTACATCAATAAATTGTTGGAATTAATGATACTATGACATCAGCTTTAGGCACTGAATATTTTTACTTTTTCATCAATTTGTCAACATGAATTGCTCAGGCTTTCTCCTCCTCTTCTACCGCCCACCCCCACTCCCACATGTATGTGTGTGTATATATATATATATGTGTGTGTGTGTTTAGTATTTTTGTGTGGGGTGGGGGGTAGTTTAAAAAAAATTGACCCTGTACTTTTTCTCCCTGTACTAAAGAAAAAGAGCTTCCCTTGTCAATTTCATCTTTTTAAATATTTTGTACCAACCCATTCATTAGCGGCACAGAGGTGAGACTCGCAGTCAAGTCTCTCCTTCAAATGCTTGCGTATTTCAATAAACGTATTGCAGCTAAGAGTCTTTGAACCTATAGTATTGCGAAAAAAACTTGAACCCTTGTTAATGATCAGCCATTTAAAAAAAAGCACTTGATTCATGCTATTTATTTCACTGCTCCTATTCAGTGCATTTCCTCATTTGTATTGAAAGAAATAAAATTAATATTGATATACCCAAATATTGATTTCTGAATTTACAGCTAGTTCTCAGCCTTGAATCAAAGTCAGGCACCATTGTTTGGTATTGCTAGTTCAGATAATGAATAGCACTATTTGCTCTTGTAGCCCTAATAAATGATTTAAAAAGATTTTATGCAGTTTGAGTTGTTTGGTGTGTGAAATCACCCAATCGGATTGGCTGTTGTTTAGCAAGGTACTGCATTAAATCACTGAATGGACCATTGAAAGAAAGTATTTTGTTTGAATATTACTTATAAAAGCATTAAATCTGCAGCAAAAAAAAATCAGTTTAAAATAAACTAATATTAAAAAAATGAAAAAATACATTGAGAGATAGTCGGTATCAAACCAATTATGATACTGAAATGCACAATTCATTTTAAAGTCATCATGCAGTTTTAATACAGTGTTTTATAATGTACACTATTTTCTTTGCTCGTGTCACTTAAAGTAGTTGATTCAATTAGGTAGACAAGACACAAAATGCTGATTAGATGTGCAAAATTCAATTTTATCCCTATCTGGATGACAAAAAAGGAACTTTTTGTATCCGTGAAATATAGAAAATATTTTCCTCTGGCTAATGCACCATATATGGCTACTTATCCAACATCAATTCAACCACTTTAGGTTCCAGATTACTAAACAAACTGCCAATTAGGCCTGCAGTCAGTTGGATAGATTAGTGGCTGTAGAGGCTGATACAAGATTTTCATCTCTTGAACCAATTACACAAGTGAATTACTATCCACTGTAATGCTTGGAAGATTTGAGTGGAAAAGAAGGCTAATTCGTGACAGCCCTAACTGAGGTACAAGATGGGTTGGCAGGTCTTGTTCTATAGTATTGCCCAGCAAATGCTGATCCTTCGAGAAAGGATTTGAAAGAATTAGTGCCACAAAGACGACTGCCAGCGAGGAAATAATCTTGTTTATTTAACCCGTAAGCACAGATATGCAGGGTCCAAATTTCCAGTGATTTAGTACTCTCTGAAGGAGCTCAGAGAGTAGGTGGGACTGACAATAGAATCCTCCTTACTCTATGGACAGTTCAGCCAAAGGAGAAATTGCAAGAAAGACCTGCCCCATCAAAAGATTTCATCCATCTTTGTGTTGCATTTCTTTATTGTGTCACTCCTCCTAATGTCATCTTGGTTCCTTTCCTCCCAACACCTGAATTCATTGTATTTGCATTTCTTCTACAACACAGGAAAACATTTGTCTTGGGCAGCTCAGCCTGTGATCTTACACTAGTTTATTTGAGCTTGTTTAAAGTTCTGACTAGCTTGTTGTTTTATATCTGCCAGCTCTAATCAACTAGAATCAATGCTTTCATTTGTCTCATGACTTGTATCAGAGGTTCCGTAGAAGGTCAAAAGAAATGAGACTCTAATGCCTTGGATAGCTGAAGTGACACCTCACTTCATGCAATAGTACATTGTAGAAAAGCACCAAGCATCCATTTTTCTTTTTATCACAATTGTCTTTGGTGATGGTTCCATGTATCTTCATTCACAATTTGAAATTGCATTGATTAGCACCTTGTCAGAAGAATGCTCCTTTCTCTGACCTAGGAACTATGGTTACCCTAACCTTTGGTCATGATTTTAAGCAGGTCCATAAATTATTAAGATCAGTTGATATACTCGGTTATCCAGCAGTAAAAAGAAAATCCTATGAAACTGAAAGGCCTATTGTTTGTGAATGCTACCCTTAAAAGGTGTTCAATTCTCTGCTGTTCTGACTTTCACTTTTTGGTCCTGTTTGCTATTGTGGTCCCGTGCTCTTCATGTTTTCATCTACAGCGAACTCTGGGTAACTCGTCATTCCAAGGGAAAAGAGCCCAGCGATGAGTTATCCAAAGTGGAATCCCAGGCTGTTTTGGGCGCGGTGACTGGTACTGATGCACGATGAAGGTTGGGCACGCAAGCTCAGATGCATCGCAGAGGCTTTTGGTCTACTGAAGGGCCATGCCGTGGCCTCCCGCCCCTACCCTTTAACATGCAACTGAGCAGGTGCACCCATCCTCAGTACCACTCACAAGATAGGGCGGGAGGCCTCCGCGATGCAAGACAGACATCTTATAAGACAAGTTATCCCATCAATTTTACATTGTAAGAATTTCTGGAATGCGACTCGATACCTGATAAGCAGTGTGACAAGTAAAGTGGAGTTCTTTGTTATTACTTTGTATGGGATGTAGCCGGGTTATTGACAACATGTTGACTTACGTGGTCGTGACAAGTTCAGCCAAGGTTGAGTTATCAGGAGTTTTCTATACTTCTGATTTCTAGGACCTCGTATTTCATATTTTCACCTCTTCAAATCTTGTCTAGCCTTTAGCTGCCAATGTTTCACTAGAATTTCAAGCTTTCTTACTGTCATACCATTGTTCTACTTTTACATCGTCTCCAACATTTACTAATCTGGAGATGAGCCATTTATGGATGCCATTAATATTTTATTTTTTTCCTGATGGCTTGATTTTCTTGTTCCGGTATTGCTGTCCTCTATCCAATGGAGAGGCCTTTCAACCCACCCATTCTCGTTCTGATGAAAGGTCACACCCAAAATGTTAACTTGTCCTTCTCTTTTCAGATACTGATTCACCTGCTGATCATTTGCAGCATTTTATTTTTGCATTGCAGCGTTTTCCTTTGCAGTTTTCTAGTATTTAGTTTATCTTTTTATCAAAACCATTAAAATACTTTCTGTGTGATACAACAGTGTATAATAACTGTTTCATGTGTGCATTAAGCTGTTAGTACATTAGAGAGTGATTAAGCAGATGTGTAGCTTCTGCCAGCTGTAGACCTATGATCTGGTATTCAGTTTCCAGTCAGATGGAGAGGAAATGAATTCTGGTAGTCTGTGTAATGTAGGTGAAGTGCTGTGTTGTAGGGATATTTATAAATAAAGATTGGCTAGATTGATTTAATTTTGAGCAACTAATAGCCATCCAGAAAAAAATTATAAAATGTAAATTAAATTGCTTTTCATTCGTAAATTGTTTTAAATATTTTTAAAATGCTAACATTTTAGTTTCCATCAATTTGTAAATTGGATTGATTGGAAGCATTAAAACATTTATAATTATTCCTTAAAAAGATTGTTTTTCAGCAGTTCATTTATATTAAACCTAGTTTTATTTATTAAGAAGATAAATTAATGTGTTGATGGCAAGGAAAGTAACGTGTTGACAGGAGGAATCAAGTAAAAACAACATTGTTGGATTGCCTGGATTCACAGCTTCACTCTGTGCTCAGGTCCTCCCATGGCCTGGCAGCTCTGAAGTAGCTACTCCTGACAGATGCAACAATTCTCGCTCTGACTTTCTTCTCCGTCCAATCTGCCCCCATCACCACCACCCACCCACTCAGTGGGTTTGTGCTTGACCATAGCAATGCAGATGAAATTGAGAAGTCAACAGAGTGGGGGTGGTGAATTGGCAGTGAGCTCTTTCCCTCTGGTGTAAAGCTGTGTTGAACTTTTGAAAACCTTACCACACATTCTGTGAACCCGAGGGACATCACTGAGGTCAGCACTGATGAGACGGACCATCAGATAAATTAAGAGAATTAAAGAACTAAAGATTTTGAACTCTTAATTGGGATTATCCTGCTCTTTTTCACGTGGCTTTGCTGATTAAACCTGTGTGTCCTTTTTAATCTAAGCATTTATAGGTGAAAACGCCCACCCCATCCCAGATTCCAACATCGGTAGTCGGATGATGCAAAGCATGGGTTGGATTCCTGGCACTGGCCTTGGACCAGACGGCAAAGGGATTGCAGAGCCCATTAGAGCATTACAGAGACCAAAAGGGGTCGGACTTGGCTTCAGCTGACAGACAGGTAATCAACCCAACAGAAACCACTCCCAACAGCCTCAGCTCAGAATCGTGTGAAGACATTGGAATATGTGGCAAGGAAAATAACATTGTTATAAAAAAAGACCCTTAATTGTTTTAAATTCAACACACATGCTTATTTTAGAATAGGTGTCAGAGCTGATTTACTGTCTTAATTGTTATGAAGGTTTTTTGATAGCAGGAAATGAATTTGATTACTGTACACTGATGCACAAGTCCAAAGGTCTTTGGGGACAATAATTCCATTCCATCCAAAGTTGTGTCTGCAAGCTGACTGAGGCTGTGGATGTGAATTTATTATGAAATATGGCAGTAGTATGAATCTTCTGCTGTCCGGTGTATGAATATCTCTGTATGATTTGCAAGTTGTCATCCTGTTCCAACTGCTGTGCTTCTATTAAAAAAGTTGCTGATAATGTGGTGCTGAAAAGTGGTAACATTATTCCAATGAAGAACCAAGACAATGTCCAACTGTCCTACGAAGTTGCAAAACATTTTTTTAGTGATTGGAAACTCAAATCACTTTTGTTGCTATTGCCATGTATTTATTTCAAATTCGACATTGTCATTTTATTCGCAGAGAAATAAAACAATATTTCAGGAAAAATACCAAACAAAACTGTACATTGTCCTGGTCTTTGTCATGAAAGGAATGGTTATTTATTGCATGGAATAAATCAAATGTTGTTAAATGGGTCCCATAGTGCTAAATATACACAAATTCATTTAGATTTGTAGGTTATTCTGTAGTGCCATTTTTTTCACGTGTGAGGACAACATGATGCTTTCAAACTTCAGTAAAGAGCCGTTGGCACGGTGCTATATTCAACCATCCAATAATCATTGCTGTGGTTGTGATGTGTCCTGATAAAAGGAGCAGGGAACTGAATGTGAAGCTGAGTGCTTTCATGAGCCTGAGGTACTGTGTTCCAGCATAAAACCCACACTGGATCATTTATTGTAACTAATAGCAAACAGAACCGGCTTAAAATTTTTCTTAGAATCCAAGATGGTATGATCCTGCTATGATTGGTACCACACATTTCAGGAATGTGACATTTTAGTGTGCATCTCTCAACTAATTGAATTGCTCAGTTCTGCTAATCTATCCATTGAAGAGTATTACAGATTGTTGCAAAACATCGGATTTCATGTCCGAAACAGCACTTAAATATTTTTTAAAATAAACAAATGGTTACAAATATCTTACCTACAGGAGGTCTTTCATATATTGTAATTAAAGTCATTTCTGTTGGACAATAGATACCAGAGTCCTAAACATATCTGTAGATGGGTGATTACATGGCAGCTATGGTGGCCTATTTGCCTGAAAGTTACTGTTCCATTTAATTTCAGCTTCAAATGTGTATTCTATCGTAAAACTCCAACATGCTGCTAATAGCAAGGAATATATCATAGTTAACGATTTTTGGTGACAAGTCAATATGGCAGAATTGTGTAAAATGTTTGATGGTTAAAAAGATTTACAATGGTAAGATAAATAAAATATGGGCAAAAAAAGTTTATGTAGAAATAGTACAGGTAATATAGATATCTTGAACTCAAGTACAGTATTTAGTTGTGCTTTACTTAATACAATCATTATTCTCTGTATTACAAAATGATTTTTTAAAATTTAGCAAGTAAAAGGCAATTAATATAGTATTTAGCAGAACCAGCTCAACATGGTGGCAAAAATTTGAAATGATATACCTGCTTGTTTAATGGATTTGACATTACTTTGACTTTTAATGTCAATTTTATTTAGCAGACAGTTACTATTATTATCAATGATTTGATACCCTCGAAACTTATAGCAGGTGTGGGTATCAAAATCAGTTAGTGGGCCAGTGGCTGATTATCTCCCTTTGAACAGAGCAAGGTTTCATTGTAATGCAGTTTGAAAGCTGACTTATCTGTTACATGACACAACATGGTACTTGAGAACAGAGCAGCAGTGCCTGTGTCAAGTGCCTTAATTGGGTAATTCTACTTCATGACGTATTTTAAAACAACTCGAGCCACAGGGTTACAGGGCTAAAACGTGTGGTACCACACTCCTGCATGAAAGAAATGGAAAATCAGACCTTTTTTTTAAGTTTGCATGTCACAATTGTAGATGTACTGTTTTTGCTGCAGAGACAGTAAATGTTGCTCCCCATGAGGAATATGGGAATACATGACTTAACAATTCTTATGGGAAAAAAAACAAGATATATTTAAGATATTGAACTGTTATTTTATGCAATAGATCTAAATGGATAGGAACTGCTTTGAACCAAGTTTATTTGTAACATGCATATAACCATTATGAGAGGAAGCATTGAGCCTTGGAAGCAATTTAGTGATAAGAGTATAGCTTATGTAGGTTAAACTGTACAATTAAAAGTTCCTTTGGGTTTGTTCGTATGAAGCATGGCTTGAATGAGACAGACTAGCAGATATTTATCAAATTACCATTTATATAGTGAAATATAGAAATCAAGCAACTTTGCATTTAATCTGTTGGTCAGCTAATTCCAAGGTTTTTAACAATCAAAATTGGGAATTAAAATCTAGCTTTTTTCTGTCTAGAAATGTTTCTACAATTTTCAATAACAGTAAAGTGGAGTATCACAGTGGGATCTAGACTGATTTATCCTTTATAGCTTGTGTATCTTGTGCCTGTACTTGAATTTAATGTGCATGATGTGAAATGTCTCGTATGCCTATTCCATACTGGCAGGTAAACTTGCAAATTTGTCATGTATTGTGTCGCCATGTTTAGCAGTGTTGAGAATCAGTATTATTTCTCTGTACAAATTCTTTCTGAGAGAATTCAATTGTTCTTGGACTTAAACTGTTTTTATAGAAGTTCCAACGTTTTTAACTCTGCATAACTGACCCTTAAGATGAACCTTATCAGACCTTTTGCAAGTAGGTAAATAAATGAGCACCACGACCAATTGTTTGTGATTATTGCTGTTCATAAATCAGCCCTCACATACTTTATACTCAGCATGACATACATTTTAGTATCTAAATTTAATGCGTCTTTCATCAGATTTATGGGAATTGTATTTGACAGAATTTGAACCATTCCTGCAATGGGGCAGTGTGGTATCGTTTCCCGTAAACTTGCCTCATACAGTTTCATGCCCATGATTTCTCACAATGTGAGAATATCAGTCTCAGCCACATTTACATCCACTGGAGTTTAAGGCCATATTTATTATGTTGGAACATGAGAAATGCCCACATTTGCATCAGGTGTTGGGTTACAGGGTTATAACACAGAATGTCCCATTTGACAGATTTCATCAATTTTTTTTATTTCAAAAGCATATAAATCAATCAATCTGACTGGCCATTCTCAGCAAGCTATTTGAGACCAATACTTCAACATTTAAAGAATATTATTATTTTCTTGCTATTAACTGTTTTCAATTCCATCAGCAAGCACAGCTGATGGCACTTGCCTGCAGTGTAAGCTACGTGCAAGAAGTGCACGTGCCCAGTGCAAGTGATGTTAAATGCAATGCTTTTTGTATATTGTACAGGAAGTGGCATTATCAGCCTGGCCACTCAGAAGTTGGATTTATTTTAGGTGGGAAGCTAGCCAGTCCATGTCAGAGGTCAGTACAATGCCATGGGCTCTAGGCACCATCCAGTACCTTGCCCAAGTGGTGCTATTCATGTATTATCCTTGACTGTGAGTGTCGGAACACTATTCAATCGTAGAGGAAATAGCAGCCAAGCCCAATCCTGTCTTCATTCGGATGATCACGCATGCACATCTTTCCAGTTCAAGTGGGAACCCTGGCTAATCTTACCATCTCAACCTTGGGCACTGAAGGTAGTTTTTCGCCCCAAGTTATTTCTGAAAATATAAATGATGAGTTTGACATATTGTGAAACAATGCGAGTCATTTGTTTAAAACAGTGGCATTTAACAATGTGGGAAAATGACAGTCAAAAGAGAACTTACAGGTAGGTAATCATTAAAACCACCAAGGTCCAATAAAGGTATTAGGATGACCTCCTGATGTGAAAGGTGCTATACAAATGTAATTTATTGTTTATTGTTGGTGTAGCAACATGCTGTATCTTAGTGTGGGGGAGTGCAGATTCCTGCCTCAGCTTGACCAAGCCATTGGTCAGAGAGATGAGATGAAATGAAGTTAAGCTGCTGTAACCTCAACAGTTGTGGGTCAATTTTCTTTTGGAATTTAGCCCAGATGTATAAAGCAGAGAATTAACCTTCAGTTCTTTAGGTTGATGAAATAAAATTCAATCCAAACTAAAAAAAATCATTTTTTTGTGGGAAATTTTGCACAAATATATCTTTCATATTTTTATTAATTCCCTCTCTGTTCAAATAGCCAACTATTCACAGCTCCCAAGCTGCACCAATATCCGATCTTCCCCGATATACGTTTTACATTGAGAGTTAAACAAATTCTTGGTTCCACTGAAATGGTGTCACATTGGTTACCCAACCCAAGTTGTATTTCTGGTCCGTTATGAATTACATTTTCATAATCTGCATCTGCTGCACTTTATAACTGGCCCTGTGGAGTTCATGCAAAAACTATGGTGACATATTGGCAGGACACATTGGAGTGATAAGTACATGACACACAATTCCTTAGTTTTAGCTTGTCCTTTGGATCCCGACAAAAGGCAAAGTGGATCAATGGTCATGGAAAAAAAATTGGAGTATGTTCATCTGGGACGTCCTCCCAACGTGAAAGACGCTATACAAATGTAATCTTGTTGTTGTTGTGGGTGGTGTTTGCGTACTTCCAACCAGTTGTTCACAGAGTGGTACTAACACACACATAGGATCATCCACTTGGTTCTCGTTGGAAAATATAATGTGGTCTGATGCTGCAGTGATTAACAAGGAATATGGAAGTATATCACACTGATGAGTGGGAACTTGGCTCTGACTCAACCTACTTTCACAGGAGAGTTCCCAATAGCTGGCAATAAATGGGTGACATACTTGTAGTTACCAAAAGGAGTCCCCACTTAATTTTCGTATTAATCATTATAAATCACCACATATTACTCCATAATGTGCACCCAAGGAATCCAAAAGAAGGACAAAGCCAACAGGAAGGGTATGTCCACTTGAAGGATTGGAAAGCACCTCTGGATGGATGCCTCGGAGCATTTTTTGACCATTTTAAACTGTGCCACCAGATGGAGTGCTTTGCTATGATGAGCTGCTTCAAGTGGGAAGAAGAGAAAATGGGGAGAAAGTAGTATGATTGACCTGGCTTGACTGCAAGAGCATCTTTTGCTAGCCTGTCATAGTGAGGTTGAACTTGTCTGTTCAGACCTCCTGACTTAGGTAGGCACCGTTAGCAGTAAGTTCAAGGAAGTAAGGCAGTCATTCAGAATGCAGAAGTGTATTTTACAACAATATGTAATCTGCACACCAATTTAGCATCAATCAGGAAATGTCAGATTTGGTGTTAAAGTGCATCTACATTGTGTTAATGGAAAATCACACTTTCTGATATAGGATTAGCTCAACAGCAAACCCTTGCTGTCAATGAACTAAAAATATAATTTGAGCCAATTATTGGGGGCAGATCCAATTAAATTAAGTAACAAGGCATTACTTTTATACCACAGGTTTTAAGCGTCAAACACAGACGTGACAAGTCTGTTGTCTTGATTGAAGCCATGCATGTTGTTACAGCAAGAGGACAATAATGAAACAGTATTGTGACAGTGACATAAGAGAAGAACCAGGGTTGGACTTTAGCCTGGGAAATGGTATGTTGACCATTTTTCAGTGAAGTTAAGAATGGTTCTGGTTTATAAAATAAATAGCAAAAGAGGCATGCTAGCTTGCAACTCCTGACTAGAAGGGTTCCACAGTAACTTCACTCCACACATGGCTATAAACATTGACAGTAACCACCAATTTCTTAATCACAAGGTTTTTCTAGGCTCTATGGGCAATTTTACTATTAGCCAGGGTGCCATATCTTACTGCATTCAGGAATCACTTCTCTGGCAGGTTCATTCATATCTTCACGTGTAGCGGATACAAGACGAGATATGGATGCCCTCGGTCAATCTGTATGGTCTACAACAACCAACTGTTAGTGCAGTTGTCTGCCAAGCAGCCCAAATCTACATGTGACTCTTTCCACTTATATGTCCCAAGTTACTTAACAGTTTTGAAGACTGCATGAAACAGGTACATCGCATCTTTAGCCTAGACCCAAAAAACAGCTGTGAATCAACATAATCGGGTGCTACGATGGAACAAACTTTTGATCTATACAAGCAGAGATTTGGATAACTAGAGCACTTGAGCTGCTTGGAATGCGACCTACCCAAGGTTTCTAATTTAGTTGAGTTGTGCCTTATGCTTTTATGGGGACGCATTAATATCCTGGCAGTGAAGAGGAAGGAACTCCAAGAGTCAGTGTGGTGGAAGTTGATGCACTCACATTAGTTTGAGAGCTTATTGGCAACTTCACTAAACAGCAGATGAATTCAATTCTCTTGTGCCACGGAAACTCTCACCAAGTGAGCAAGAGTGGCACCTAACATTTCATCTGCACATGCAGTATGCAGAATATGAATTACCCCAAATACCCCCAAGTCTTTACCTCACGCAAATGATAGCTCAGTATCCACTGTTATACAATACAAAATTACATAGGTAAGGTGCCTTTCACATCGGGAGGGATTAGGACCGGAGCCGGGCAGGGAGGGTAGTAGGGTGGCCAAAGGCATGTTTGAAGAGGATGGTCTTGAGGCGTGCCTTGAAGGAGGCAAGGGAGAGGGAACGAGGCAAAGGGAATGTGGGATGGAGTTTCAGAGGGTGGGGGTAGAGGCTCAAGTCCCACCCGCCGATGGTGGGCCAGGCTGGGGACATGGAGCAGGCAGGAGTGGAGCGAGCAGACAGGTTGATAAGGGGTTAGCAGGTCTCAGAGTTAGGAGGGGACAAGGCGATGGAAGGTGAGGACGAGAATTTTGAACTCGATCCTCTGAGGGATGGGGAGCCAGTGGAGCCGGGTGAGGGTGGATGTGATGGGGTCACAGAGCCTGGTGCAGGAGAAGACAGGAGCTGCAGAGTTCTGGGTGATCTGCAGCTTGTGGAGGGAAGAGTTGGGAAGGCCGAGAAGCATGAAGGTGTTGTAGTCGAACCTGGATGTAATGAAGGCATGGATGAGGGTTTCGGTGGCCTGAGCGGTGAGGCAGTTGCGGAGTAGAGCAATGTTGTGGAGGTGGGGGAAGGTAGAGTGGGTCATGGCACAGATGTGGGGGAGAAAGGACAGTTGAGTGTTGAACAAGATACCTAGGTTCCTGACTGGCTTGGTGAGGTGGCGTGTGCATCTGTGGATGCTGATGCTGCCAATGCATGAGGGGCTGAGGCGCTGACGTGAGCCAATAAAGAGACCCTCGGTCTTGCTGACTTTCAACTGAAGAAAGTTGGCTCTCATCCAGGACTTGATTTCTGACAGGCAGTCTATCAGGACATCAGTGGTCGAGGGTGAAGGCAGAGAGATAGAGTTGAGTGTTATCTGCATACATGTGGAAGTTGACCTTATGTCTGTGGATGGTGTTGCCAAGAGGGAACATGTACAGTTTGAAGAGTTATGTATAAACGTCTATTGGATGATACACATAATATACATCTTTATTGCCAATAATTTATTGTCCAATATCTCAAGTTTACAAGTTTCATTTTGTGCAGTTGCTAATTTTAACCCATGCTACTTTGTGTTGTTTATACGCATATATCTGCCCATAACCTTTGTAATTTCTTTAGTAGCAGTAGTAATAGTTAATAATAATCCTTGCAATTGATATATCGCTTTATCATGTCTTTGAGACGTCTCAAAGCTCTTCACAGAATATACTGTAAAGTGGATTTAATTGTAGGCAAAATTTAGCAGCCAATTGCACACAGCAGTGACCCACAAACAGTTGT